GGGAAAGTTGAGAATCAAGTACTAATCCTTAGATTTCGAAGTTGAACACAATGAGCTATAGGAGCTCATTGCCTAATGCTATATACCTATGGTGCTCGCTGTCCTCGCTCAGAGGAGTCCGAGGATTCCTCGGTGGCTGACGCGCGAGGAGCACTCCTCGGTGGCGTATGTACGAGGGGTGTGCCAAGACTTTTCCTCGTGCATGCCAAGCCGAGGAGGTCACGTGATTAAGTTCCCGTGTCACATATGGAGGGGTCAGCTATCCCGCCGACGCTCCTTAACTTAACCGCCGTGCCCCTTCCCACAGGTTCGTAACACCTAGCTAGGTAGTAGGCCTCGATATTAGCTAGCTTAGTGGAACTTTCCTTGCAGGATTACAAAGGGTGGGATAGACTAGCTAGCTGTGTAAGGGTCTCACATAGGTCAGGTATTTGAAACTGTGTTGAATTACAAAGTAATTGCAGTGCAGAGCTTGTAAGAAGCTCTGCGCGGAATATATCTAAGTGGGGGTGTGCATGGGCCACCAAACAGGTGGCTCGTGCGCGAACATCAAAACAACGCTAAGGCATCTGGCAGGTGGCCTGTGCGGGGCAACGGCCCAAAACCATCACAAGCTGCGTTAATACACTCAATCGTTGTCACCTACTCACGATCACCTAGCTGTATAGTGACTGCGCGGCCGACAGTCTCAGAGCTTGTAACGACTTTTGACGTTGCAGCGACCCCCATTATAAAGCTAGTCTTATCAAAGTTATTGTTGAGAAGGTATATGTACCAATCAACGCAGGGGCAAAGAGTGTTCACTTTTTGTCTCAACAGTTATAGATATCTATGTGTCACAGCACCAACTCGGCGCTCTGTAGGTCACGTGCCCCCATCCCTATCTTGGCCTAGCGCCTGCTACCCCACGGTACACATCCTCCCCGCGCTCTTGTACATAGACCTTTACACTACAACTATGTTCTTACCTTGACCCTACTATCCCGTCCCGTGATACTATGTTAAGGATACCGTACGACTAACGCGTCTCCTCTACAAGCTTAAATCACGCGCGGATCACAGCTAGGTCCTCTAATTTTGCGCACTGCGAGTGAAATTTGCGATTCCACTTTGTCTAGAGCTCTGGCTGAGCTTTGATAAAGCGTGATATCCAGTTCTTGCTAACAGGCTAAGGAGGGGGCTCTTAGCCGCGCGCCGCGAGTAGATTGTCTGCCATTCGTCGTACGTCAATGATCTAGGGCGGAAATCTGCGTCGGTCAAGGTCTAGGATCTAATCTACTAGAGATTGCTCCTCTATAGGGGATAGCTTACGTTTTTGTGTATTAAATTGCTGTAGTGTAGGCACGTGTTAAAGACGGCGTCGAAGCGTTGTTCTAGGGATATCGTATAGCCGCGCAGCTTTTTCTAGTACTTGAAATCTGGCTATTTTGAATCGCGTGGATCGATAGATCTATTCTACCTGCTTTTTGGAGCCTCTGAGCGTTGTGGGGGGGGCGCCATCGTGAGTGTTGTGAGAAGACGCGTCGCGATTTTGGTGGGGCGGGCCGAGGAGTGGTTTGGGCCGAGGAGTGGTGAGACACGTTACATGAATAATCAGATGGATTTCTCCTACCGTGTTCCACCAGTCCTCGGCCCACCCCACCAAACCTGACGCTCCTCTCTCCGCGATAGCTCCACAACAACACAAGATAATAGAATCGTATTATATAAAAAACGTAGTATATTACTGTCTACATTGAGTCCTTGTGTGTCCTTAGACGTAGCACTTTGTACACGTTGGTGGTGCGCGCTAACGTCCTTAAGTAGCCTTAGCTTGTTCAGCAATAAAACAATGTCAACAGCGGCATGTCACATGCATGTATTAGAAGGAGGGAAAATGTTGATGGATGAATACCCACCAGGTGACTTGAATATGGGGATTTCCTAAAGACCCTGAAAAGGCTAAGAAGGCTAGTCGCATTGACAGTGTGACAGTGCCTAGATACATATTCAAGAGGAATACTGCCTAAAGCCCGGGGAATCATTCCTATTGGTGCGAAATCGATCGAAATCATACCCTTGAAAGCTTACAAAGTTGGCCCTTCCCGGTACATCCTGCACGCGTCGTTGGCTTGGCTGCATGCTAAAATTAATAAAATCTCCGGCACCATCCGCTCTTGCATGCATGAAGATTGGAGCTTGCCACGGACATTCACGTCTACAACGACTAGGCCGGATGGACAGGTTAAGCAGCTGTGATCGATGTTGTCATGGCCGGCGAATCTGAATCGCAGATAAAACCTCACAATCATGGACAGAAATCGCAATAACTCTCTTAACGCGGTATACGACGTGAAGACAACAGCACCTAGGTAAGTACGGAAGCGAGCGACATTTGATCCATCATGGTTAAAGGTGGAGTTCCTCAATCGTATCTCGGCCTTGGAATCGTTGGTCTGAGCGGCGCTCTGGCCCGTCCTCTGTAACTGCCGGGAAAAACCCTCCGACGCCTTCCGAACCGAAGTCGGGTACCACTGTGTTGTTTTGCGCGCGCGAGCTGTCAAGCTTACCTAGGTATAGTCGCGACGTTAGGTTGTAAATCGATTGATCGTTTCGGACATTACCGCTCGAGTACGTACTTACGGTGCCTGTCAACGGGTATTTTAGCTTCTATGTAGACACTTAATACAAACTTTCTGTCTATCGAAGCAAAACGCTAGTCCGCAAAAAATCCACCACAGGCCAATGAACCGGAGTTCGGTTATCGCCAGTGCATCGTATCTTGAGTTTGTGGTTCTGGTCATGGATGTATCATGGTAGTCCCTGTGACACCCGTCGTCTGCCATACAATCCAAGAAAACGCGCCGAAAGAGAACTTCATTCCGTTGCCCAGCGCGCAGGGACTTGTACGGTCTCGCATGAAGCTGTCCCACTCTATTTAGTTCTAAGTAACCATCACCACATAGCGCTACGTTCACGATGTCTTACTCTTCGAATTATGCAGATGCGTGTTCCCAGTAGGCGTTCGGGCGGGTAGCCCTTCTAAATTTTCATGTTTTCGAAGCTACAGACTCGTCCTAGGTGAGGTGTATCGGCCTATCCGGGGTTACTACAGTTGACGGTGGAGTCATACCATCAGACGCTGACTGCATTTGAAACTCGGCAATCACCCCTACAGATTCCTCGACTTAGTGTACAATACCATATCGGGAGTACCGGCTTCCCTAAATTGCTCTTAGAATGTTTCTGGTAGGTAAGCGAGTCAGTGACCATAGGTAGGTCTAGACCCAGGGACCGCTTCCAAACGATGACAGGGAACGGCCTTGATATTGTCACCTGTCAGAACATCTAGACTCAGGGCTAACGTTCGCAAGGAAAAGCAGCCATGGCCGCGCAAGCATGCTCTTCGTATAATATGCTTTCCACATGTTTGCGCTGTCTTTCTCAGCGCAGGATCACGCCGAGTTAGTTTATTCGTGCGTTAAATAGGGATAGAGCACGTAGCCAGATGAAGCCGAGGTCTACTAAAACAGCTTAGGTAGAAGCGGTAGTGCAAACACGACTAGCTTTCGTTTCGGTCTTGTTATTACCAGAGAAAGGCCAACCTGACCTTGGGTGAGTGTCTAAAGTATATATACCTCGTGTCTCTAATACGATTTAGAATCATCATCTTGCAACTATTAAACTCTACAATCAATTACCTCTACAAATAAGCACTCAAAAACATCTGATCACAGTCCGCAACAATCAATTAAGTGGGTCCTAGAAGGTTCAGATTGGATTGATTGATTACCGCTTTAAGCCTAGTAGTTACCTATAGGAGTTTAAGCCCTACCTAGATAGGTAAGTGGGTCTAGGAGAGTGACCGGATTGAATTGATTGTTGCGGAGTCTACATCTGATTACACGATATATTGTCTCTACACACAAACACTCCAAAATCACAACCTACATCATGAAGGTCATTGCAATCATCGCCGCCCTCGTCAGTGTTGGATCAGCTATCGCTATCCCATACGAGCAGAGATGTCAACAAGCAAGTCAAGCTGGCTTGATTCTTATCGATTGCAGATCACAGACCATTCTCTGCAAGGGCCTGGGAAGCTTGTCCCACTTTTCCTGCGGTGGCTAGGGAAAATGAAATGGGTTTGGCCACGGGCATACATCTGGGGGGGGTGTGTGACCCCTTAATGATTAACAAACT